GATAGATAGATAGATAGATAGATAGATAGATAGATAGATAGATAGATGATTGATAGATAGATGATAGATGGTATAGATTGATAGATAAATAGTTAGATGATAAATAGCTGATAGAGATAGAGATAGATGATAGATAGATAGATAGATAGATAGATAGATAGATAGATAGATAGATAGATAGATAGATAGATAGATAGATAGATTTGACTTGTTGTATAAAGGCTAAATACACAGTCCTTTAGGAATTAAATGGACAAGATTCAGACAATATGAATCACAATATGATTAGTGCTCATTTTAAAATGTGAACCAGAATTTGAGTTGTTTTTGTTGCAGTTTCTACTTGCAATGATGAATTAATGATCCTATTAACTCTTCTGTCCTAATAAAGGACATTTGATAATAAAAAGAAGGAAAGTATGTTTATTCTAAAAAAAACCACACCCCTCTCAATTAAATGTATATAGGATTACAGTTGAAGTAAATCTAAGTATTAACTGGATTTGGTATATTCCTTTTTACTCTCATCCTTGTATCCTGATACCCATCATTCAGTTTGGTTCTCATATCATTTTGATGGCATTCATGGATTAATTATTTGCTGGATGAACATACAATGGACTCCTGGAGTAAATCAAATCCATACACCTAGAACTTTGGTCAGATAAATGACATTTGCATTGTAGACTTAAGACTGAAAAAATAACTGGACGATGGCTCATTTGCAAATAAATTTAATATTTTTTTTTTAAAAAAAACCTTCTATTAAGTAAGTTTACTTTCAAGGATCTACATTCATGGGGTCCTAGTAATTCTACTTCCATTATTTTATGATTTGCATCTATTAATGTGCCTATGCGCACGTGAACACACACACACATTATTAAAAGTTTTAAAAACCAAGATGAAAATCTTCTTTATAGCTGTTATAAGCACAATTATAAATTTATCTCTTTCTCTAAACTTACAGCCTACCTCTCTATAATACGTATGTATATTTCTATAATGTGTCTCCTCCAATCTGTAATATATCTCTATGATACCTCTCCTCTAATAATCAAAACCAGAAATCTGTTTTTTTTTTTAAAGTCCAAGAGTTTCCAGTCACTAATAAATGTAGATATATTTTCTCTAATCAAAGAAGTCAGTTTGGTCATCTCAGCGAGTTCCATCATCTTTACCAACCACTTTCCCATAGTTGGTATTGCCAAATCTTTCCATCTTTGGGGCATAAAATAATCTCGCTCTGTTTATCATATATATATATAAACAAAATCCATTACTTCCCCCCCACACACTGTCCATCGGTTCTAAGAAAAAACTGTCAATTATATAATAACCTTTACAATTCTTTGAATCATTGTGTGTATTTGAATCCTATTTACACACACATATATTTTTTTCAGCAGGCAGTTTCTAAAAATAGGTGGATTTTCCCCTCCCTTCATTCTGACTTCTTAAATTTATTTATCCCCTCACTATGCTCTATCCTTTCCTGAATTAAATGAGGATTCGCTAAAACTTTAGGGGTTTAGGCTGGGCTCAGGCAGAATTAGGGACAGCACAGATGTCTCTGACAGCTTAAAAGGAAGGGGGAAAAAACGTCGATTAATCCACCTATTTTTAGAATTGGGGCTGAAAAGACAAAACATAAATCTTCTCCTTTAAAGTCAGGAAAGCCATTCTGAACAATCCTGGCTCACCTACAAACAAGCAAACAGAGCTTTTGAAAAAACAGTAACCAGTGTCCATTTTGCAATGGTACATTTCTTTTCATAAATCAGATACAGTAATGATTAAAGAAGACTTCAGAAAGTAATTAGGACTGCAGAAAAAAACAATTCCTACCAACCTGCCCTCCATGGAGGATCTGTATCCTGCACGAGTCAAAAAGAGGGTTGGAAAAATATCTACAGACCCCTCACATCCCAGACATAAACTGTTTCAACTCCTACCCTCAAAATGACTCTATAGGGCCAATGGACAACTAGACACAAAGACAGTTTTTCCCCAAAAGCCATCATTCTGCTAAACAAATAATTCCCTCAACACTGTCCAACTATTTACTAAGTCTGCATTACTATTACATTAATCTTCTCATCACTCCTTATCACCCCTCCCCTCCCACTTGTGACTGTATGACTGTAACTTTGTCGCCTGTGTCCTTAGGAGTTATATTGACTGTCTCCTGGTATGGTTTGATTGCTTATTGTACCCTCTGACTAATATTAAGTGTTGTACCTTATGATTCTTAATGAATGTATTTTTTTTCTTTTATGTACACTGAGAGCATTTGCACTAAGACAAATTCCTTGTGTGTCCAATCACACTTGGCCAATAAAGAATTCTATTCTGTTCTGTTCTGTTCTGTTCTGTTCTGTTCCCTTCCGTTCCATTCCATTCCATTCCATTCTTCATTCTTCTATTCTATTCTATTCTATTCTATTCTATTCTATTCTATTCTATTCTATTCTATTCTATTCTATCCTATCCTATCCTATCCTATTCTATTCTAAGAGGATCAAAAATACTCATTTACATATAAAGGTAGTCCTCGACTTGTAACAGTTCATTTAAGTGATCATTCGAAGTTACAATGACACTGAAAAAGGGGACTTACAACCTTTATTCACACTTACGACCCTTGCAGTATCCCCATAGTCACGTGATTTAAATTTGGATGACAACCAACTCACATTTATCCCGGTTGCAGTGGCCCAGGGTCACGTGGTCCCCTTTGACGACCTTCTGATGAGTGAAGTCAATGGGGAAACCAAATTCATTTAACCTTAAAAAAACCTTTAAAACACTTAAAATTAGTGTTACTAATTTAAGAACTGCAGTGATTGAGTTAACCCAGGTGCTGAGAAATTTTTTTTAAAAAAAATGGGTCAAAACTCACTTAACTAATTTCCCACTGAGCAACATACATTCTGGGGCTCAGTTGTGGTTGTAAGTTAAGGACTGCCCATATACCCATTTGTTGGCATAGTAAATAATTAATACACCAGCGAAATGCTGCGGTATACTTAGACTTCAGAAAGGCATTCAACAAGGTAGACCACAACTTACTTCTTGGTAAGCTGGAAAAAAGTAGGATAGATACCATCACCACCAGATCTCAAATGAAATAGAAATAAAGGAGAAATTTTAATTAATAGCTCAGGGTTGAAATGAGGGATCCTTGGTGTTCATGGCAATAATACAGGAGCCGATTTCCAAAGCATCTTGTAAGGGCTTCATTTTAAAATTGAATTCCCATCTGACCTGAGATTTCCTGGAGGTCTCCCATCCTAACGGTTGGCTTTTCAAGATGAGCCATAAGGACTGACCTTGGGGCATCCACTTAGCTGTGAGAAAGTTGGTCTCCTTCCCAGAGATGATGAACTCATGTCATTCACCCATAAACACATTTTGCCCCTCACCAGTAAATTGTTCATTTCTTTAGATTTTCAACAGTTTCCTATTTTACCGATATCCTTTGTTTATTAAAAGGCACGTCAAACCCATAGGGTTCTTTTATGCTGAGAAACTGACCTTGAAAGGAAAAAAATGAGGATCTTTAGGAAGGTAGATTTGAAAAAGCTAAAGAATGTTTCATCTTTTTTGAAAAAAATACCAAACTCTGAGAAGAATTTATTTTTCTCTCTTTTTCTTTTAACCAGTAATTCCATCAAGTTAGTGAATCTGTGCTCGATATTTATTAGCACATGGCTGACAGCAGCTGGATTTATACATTTGGTAAGTATGCTCAAAAAGGCTTATTTGCGGAGCTTTAGAATTATTACGAGCTAATCCAGCTATAGATAATTTTTTAAAAAGGCATCATGTATTTCTTTTTCATTTTCATTGGGAACATGCTTTGCCAAGAGGTTGGTGGCTTAATCTAGCGAAGCAACTCCCTATGTGTTCAGAATAAAAATAATAAATAAAAATAAATCAGGTTTTGTCAGGGAATTTTAAGCTATGAGGACTTCAACTCCCAGAATTCCCTTCATGCGTGGCTGGGGAATTCTGGGAGTTGGAAGTCCCCATAGCTTAAAAGTTGGTGACGTTGAGAAATACTGTAATGGAGAATTCCCCTCAGTCATACTGTATGTCATTTTTTTCAGATTTTTGATGCAGGATTCCTGGGTTCTTTTAAATATTATTAATAAATCTTGTCTCTAACTGAAAAATTATTCCGAGAGGAGAAAAGGAAAAAAAAAAACAGTATGGGGAAAAAAAACACCATATTTTCTCTGGAGTTCAAAGCCCGCAACGACTTTGGCTGAAACTGGAAAAGAAAGCTAGGAATTTTGGGATCTAATTTTGAGATTCTGGAACACTTTTACTGAATTTGACAATAAAGACAACGAGCCACTAAGTGGCAGTGTGGACTTAAAAACAAACATAAAATAAAATGTGTTAGTGCACAAGGCAACCTCTTGTAAGAAAAATGAAGAATGTTACGTGCTACTAGGACTTACAATCTATGGATGCACACAATGCTCATTTTCTCCCGAAGATCATTGTACACTGTTGCCTGCTTGAATTAAAATAACTTAACACATCCTCTCCTTCTCTAAGGATTAGATTCCCAATGTGTCTTTGAAAATAGGTCTTACCAGATTCCTGATTCGGGGGGGATCAATTCACATTTTTTTCCCTTTTGTGTGTTGAAACATGGCCTTAAGGGACAGTTATTGTGGTAGCTACTTGCTGTTATAATAGGGAGGAATTTTGTGACTCTTGGTGACTAGTCCCAAGAGTAGTTTAGCGCTAAGTTTTGTGGATAGGATTACAGTAGGTGAACCCTAACCCTCAAATTTTGGAAGACTACTGTCATGTCAGCCCTAGTCCTATTGCAACCATATGGTTAAAGCCCAGTTTAGTGGCTATAGATTCCATCCTGACTTCCTTGGAAAGGCCACATTAGAGTCCATCATTACACGTAGTCCTAAGTGTCAGATATATTTAAACATAGTTGTATATGTCTAATGCAATCATCATTTACCAGTTATTAGACTACCTTTCTAGAACTTCCAAAGGGTGATCGTATTCCTCTCTTTTCTTTCACAATGGTTACTATTTTAGGATGGTTCCTGACTTTTTTTCCCTCGATAGGATTCCATATTTGGAACATGCCAAACCAGTATATACCCTAACTGATTTGATATAAAGAAAATGACTTGTTTTATCACAGTCCATCAAGTTGTTACGGTTGGGTGGTACGGTGGCCTAAAGGTGGAGCTCTTGCCTCACAATCAGGAGGCTGTGAGTTCTATCCCAGATAGAGGCAGATATTTCTCTCTCTGGCCATGATGAGAATTTATCTGCTGAATATACAGTATAACTTCGTACTGGCAACAGGAAAGGGCATCTGGCCATTAAACACTCTGCTATCTCCATTCAGTTGTTGTTAAAAGATGATGATGATGATGGAGTTGTTAAGGTTAAGATCATGTCATTAGAGCTGTATGAGGTATTACTGATATTCCCTGGCTAAAAAGAGAATTTGGCCTCAACGGTTCAATGAGATCATATCTGTGTTGCATTTTTTTTCTCTCTCCCTGAACGCATTAGTTATGTAGTAACGTGCTAATAAGTTCGTGAATGGAAATATTGCATATTCAATGATGCATTCATTTTGCTTTTGTTCTAGGTGGAGAACTCAGGGGATCCATGGGAAAACTTCCAAAATAACCAACCACTTACATATTGGGAATGTGTTTATTTGCTAATGGTTACTATGTCCACCGTTGGCTACGGAGATGTTTATGCAAAAACAACCCTTGGGCGTCTTTTCATGGTTTTCTTCATCCTCGGGGGATTGGTAAAACATCTATCTATCTATCTATCTATCTATCTATCTATCTATCTATCTATCTATCTATCTATCTATCTATGTATCTATGTATCTATCTAATATTTTAAATGTAACGATTATACTGTAACTTACGACTTCAAAATACATATCCCATTGTATTGCATTTTGAAGAGCTTAGTTACCGAAGTAAAATATAGGGCAATGGCGCACTTAATGGATGTAATGTTAGCAGAGATAGGAAGGATAGGAAGCATTTTAAGAATTCAAAGCTTTAAGCCGTGGGGAGGAGGGCTGGGCACACTCTGAAAATCCTTTGAAAACATAGCTTTGGTCTTTACAAAAAGCCCAACTTCTCTCTGCTGTTCATGGGACCAGCCTATCGAGTAGCAATTGGCCAATTGATTCCTCTTGCGGCCTTCTCAATGCGATAAAATATAGGTCGTCCTTCACTTATGACCTCAGTTGAGCCCATTGCTAAGCACAACAGTTAGTGTTAAGTGAGCTTTTTGTCCCCATTTTACAACCTCTCCTTGCCACCGTCGTTAAGTGGTTGTTAAGCCAGCAACCTGGTGGTTAACTGAATACGTCTTCCCCATTGACTTTGATTCTCAGAAGTTTGCAAACCATGGTCACGTGACATGGCCATCATCATAAATGCATGCCCATTGTCGACGTTTTGATCATGTGACCACGGGGGTGCTGCCATGGTCCTGTGGGTGAAAAGTCATCATGAATCCACTCTTTTCCATGCCATTGGTAACTTCCTTAAACAAATAGTAAAGTAAGGGCTACGACTAATCTAATCTAAGATAGATTGGAGCAATGAAAAGGATAAAATACAAATGTGTTAATACAAAGAAATTATAACCAGGTAAATGTCAGCACTCCAATGAAACTCCCCATTCTAATTCAGCACTCAGAAGTTCACCCAAGTAAGAATTTATTAAAGAAGTCATGTTGGCACATCTAGGAAAACCTGAATCTGAGAGTTCCGGGTTTTCCCTTCCCAAAAGAGAAATCAAAGATCCCTCCGCTGCACCCAACAATCCATCACATGGTCCAATCAAATCTTCATCCCAATTGGAGATCTTCCTCCAGACTTCCCTCCAGGGGCAGGGCAACATGTCCTTGACTCTCTGAGAAAGAACGTTGTTGAGTCTAATCTTCTTCCTCTCTATGAAATGCCGCCCTCCCAAATTCCCAAGGATTGGACGTGGAAGCCTCAAAGCGTCCAAGTAAAATATGGCTCCCAAGGTTGACAGTAAATGAATTTCCTTTGCATGGTACCCCCATGTGTTCAACCATCTATTGGGTTCATCTTGGTCATAAACTTAAGCAGTTCTACATCCAATACAGGTAGCCTTCAACGTGCAACAGTTCATTTCACCGCTGTTCAGAGTTACAACGGCACTGGGAAAAGTGACGTAGGATTGTTTTTCACACTTAAAACCATTACAGCATGCCCGTGGTCATGGGATCAAAATTTGACAACTGGCTCATACTTATGATGATGGGAAAGTTCCCAGGGTCATTTGATCCCCTTTTGCAACCTTCTGACAATGGGGAAGCCAGGTTCATTTTGTATCCGGATTACTATCTTAATGACTGCAGTGATTCCCTTAACACAGCGGTGTCAGATTTAAGGCTCTGAGGGCCGGATCCAGCCCATGGGGTGCTTAGATCTTGCCTGCAGGGCCACCTGTTCTGACCATAGCTTCCTGAAACACTAACAAACACACATAAAATCCAAAACTCTTTTATTTTAGTTCAATGGCTGTGAATTGTCATCATTCACAGCCTGGAGTGAGTCTTAACCAGGGACGTCTGCCAAAGTTCTTTGAGAGACATCTGATAAGAAGGCACCTTATCTTACTTGAAGTGCTGCCAATGACTTAAGTCCCAATTAGTCTTTCCAAAGTCCAACAGAGAACAAATTCACCATGGAGCTTTTAGAATCCAAACCAATCAGAGCGAATGACGTTGCTTCCTGCAAAGATTTCCTTACCTTTGCACTTCCTTTATACCTTATGGGAGGGGCAATCACCTCCAAGCCTTACTCCCGAGTCTCCCCTTTTGTCTCAGCTGCTCTTGCCTTCTAGCAGCTCTGCAAACACGCACACTAGGAACAGGCTCCCCTTGTTCCTCTGCCTCACTGCTGCCAGATTCTGGAGGCTCTGGAGTCAGCACATAACTCCCAGATGGTCCTGGCCCCATCTCTGTATTGGATGCAGGACCCTCATCCGAGTCCTCTCCAGACTCCCAGACTGATCCCTGTTCTTCCCCAGTGTCTGATTCCACTGCCGTCTGCACAGGCTGCCGGCGAACCACAACACCACCCTGGAAACAACAAAGGACAGGCCCGCAGTGCCTCTTCCAGCAAAAACATAGCTCAGGAGGGCTGCGTGTGGCCCTCCCGAGCTCTGTTTTCTATGGCAGAGGGTTGCAGGAGGCAGTCACAGCCAAAAACAGATCTTGGGAGCCCATTTTCACTGGCAGAGTGTTCGGGCTACCACAGGCACCCCCAAGATGAAGGACGTCAAGCTGACTACAACCACTGCAGCCCCTGGAGGTCTGATGTGTCTCTCAATGGAATTGAGATCAACACCCCTGGCTTAACCACTGTGGCAAGAGAGGTTGTCCCAAGGGCTTGCTTAGAGACAGAAACTTGGGGCCCAATTACGGTCATAATTCAAGGACTGCCTGTACATACATTTGAGCCCAGGAAGAAATGTGACAATGAAAACCACCTCTTCTGTTCCAGGTTTCTGAGCAAAAGTGCCCCTGCTTTGAAAGGGTGTGTGTCTTAATATTAAATAAGGACATTCTTTTGAAAGCAGACTGAACTTTTCCTTAAGCTCTGCAGAACCCCAAAAGGGGAAGCCAAATTGAAGGAAACCAAGCTTTAATGAAAAGCGGAGAGAGGTTGGACTTGAAGGCCGAATTACGCCTTCAGTGAAAGTATTTTGAAAGTGTGCCCAGAACTCCGCGCCTTGATAACAGTCTGGGGGGAAATTAGTTGCGGTTTCAAGATCTCCCCTTTTGTGTTCCTTCCCGACATTCCAACAAACACTGTGGTTGAGGATCCTCTTTAAAAGAGCTGTTGCCCGGAGTTCTTTCTTTCTTCTTTTTTCCCAGCTAGCGGGAAAAAGCGAGTTCTCATCCTTCCAAATAGCAGCCGAGGAGGTAGGCTGAAAGTAGGGCAGCCCTTGCAAATTTCCCAACCAATCGGCAAAAAAACCACGCTCCCACGGGAGACAGAGAGAAATTTTCAGGAGAGGAAAAGAAAATCCAGCTATTCTGGAGGATTAACATCTGTATCTCCAAGGAGCTGGGCTTGGATTGCATGGAGGCAACTGCTATCTTAACTCTTTGGGTGCCATGCTCCAACTGTGGTGCTCAGGATGGTGAAGGAACATCCTGAACATAGCTGACTCGCTTGTAGAGATTGTCCCTGAACAAACTACCAATATTTTTTTTTCTCAAAGCAATAAATTTCTGGCAGCCATTGCATTTTTGCCCTAGAAAAAAAAAAACATCAACAACCATTGTTCAGGTTGAACTATAAGGTAAGTGACTTCTTCGACCCCAGGTGTGTACGTATACAGATGTGCCTGTATGTGTATATGTGTAAACTCATCAATGTATGTATGTTTACTTACAGCAGAGGTGTCCAAGTTTTGGCAAGTTTATGATTTGTGAACATTAAGTCCCAGAATTCCTCAGCCAGCATGGTTGGAGCTTCATCACTGGAGGCTTTCAAGAAGAGATTGGACTGCCATTTGTCAGAAATGATGTAGAGTCTCCCGCTTGGGTGGGGGGTTGGACTAGATGACCTACAAGGTCCCTTCCAACTCTGATTATCTGTCTATCCATCTGTCTGTCTGTTTGGATGAGGAATTCTGGGAGTTACCAAGGTTGGACACCCCTGTGTTACAGACCTAAAAGTAACGAAGGTGTACACATAGATGATAGATAGATAGATAGATAGATAGATAGATAGATAGATAGATAGATAGATAGATAGATAGATAGATAGATAGATGGATATAGACAGGCGCATCTCTCATTTTAGTGATTTTACCTCAAACCTTTTTGTGCATTTGCCTTCCCTTGACAAAAAGGTAGCTCTTGAGGCCCCTATTCGTGGCAGCAGCTCTTCGAGGCATCCCAGCCACAAGCAAAATGTTTGTTGGACAAAACATGGCAGAATAATTATTTTTTCTTCCTCGTTGCCTTTTTCCCCCTTTTACATCCTTACATTTTCTTACCTGCCTTTTAAAATAGATGAAATTTAACAAAAAAGAAAAATTACATCATTTTTCATTCTCATTGGGCAGAAAATCCACTCTGCTTTTGTTTAGTAAACCACTGACACAAAACCACCTCCCATCTGTCTTGTCTAAAATACTCATAATAATGCAAGCATCCGAAATACGGCTTTTGCGGGGTGTTTTGGACAGTAAACATTTGAAAAATTCCATTCGCCCCTTTTCGAAAATACCAGCCATGGCACTGTTTTTATCCCTTCAGTGTCACTTGGACTCCATTTTGTTCTTGTTCTTGGTTTTTGTTTTCCTTCTTTTTTTTTTAATTTTTATTTTTTCATTCCTCTCTCCCTCTTTTGACTGTTTTCTGTAGCTGAGCCGGTGTTTCCCTCTTTTTTTTTAAAAAAAAAAAAAGACATTTGACCACCTTGTTTTGAGATGAAAACTTTTTGCAATCTTTTTTTTTTTTTGTTTCTTTCTTTCTTCTTGTTTTTCTGTTTTTGGAGGAAAGACTCAATTGACTAGGACCTAAGTCTTGCATTTTCAGATTGTAAGGATGATGTATCTTCTTATTAAAAAAAGAAAAATTCATCAGTCCCTCCCCTTCCTTTGACCTCTCTTTTTAGTCTTTTCTCTGTCTCCTGTCTTCTTCCTTAGGCCATGTTTGCCAGTTACGTCCCTGAAATCATAGAGTTAATAGGAAACCGCAAGAAATATGGTGGTTCCTATAGTGCGGTTAGTGGAAGAAAGTAAGTATTCCAAGGCTTTCTGCTGCCTTTGGTGTGGCAGAACTCTCTCTGCATGCCATTTTTTTTCTTTTCTTTTTTCCTTTTTTTTGTTTTGCTTTTCTTTCATGCATGTAGGCAATGTTTGCGCGCTACGTGCCAGAAATTGCGGCTCTCATCCTTAATCGGAAGAAATACGGCGGGACTTTTAATTCAACCCGAGGCAGAAAGTAAGTTGAAAGAACTGGATAAAAAAAAAATAAACAACAACAACTGGAAGAGCCAAATTGTGTTGTTCTAACCCGGGCTTAGCAGAACCAAGAAAGAGACTCCTCTTTATTTAGGTATTGTGAATTCATGGCATTCACACACAGGAAAGTCCCAGGAATAATCCTTCCAAGGGTTAATTGCAAGAACAGACCTTATGAGTCCTTGGATAATTGCCAGGCCAAGCAAGAGCTTCCGGTCACAAAGCTGTACATTAATTCCTGGCAAGGAGTCTCCAACGATAACACGATAAGCAAACCGTCATAATAATAAGCAAAACTATTGTCTCCTGCAACCACCACTCCCCTTTTGCGTTTATTTATTCCCCAGGGAGGGGCCGTTCAGCATCCATGTATGCCCCTCCTCCCGAGTCAGCCCCTGTTCCTCAGTGGTTCTCCTCCCCTGACAGCTCTGCGCATACGCGCATCTGGAACAGGGTCCCGCTGTTCTTCTTCCCCACTTATCTCCAACTTCAAAGATAGCTGGGAAATATCAGACGGCCCTGGCCCTATCTCTGCTTCCAACACAGAGCATCCATCAGAGCCTTCTCCAGACTCCAGGACTGGCCCAAGTTCCCCGCCCCCGCACACCTCCTCATCGTCCGAGTCTGCTGCCAGCAGAGCTGGTGGGCCACAACATGTAAGACCAAGTGGAACTTGAGCCCAATGTGGGGGTGACATCTAACATCTCACTCCCCCAATTTTTTTTCAGGGATAAGTGTGTCTGGTCATCATCAAATCTCACACCTTCCCCAAGCTGGAGAATATTAATTTGGGTTGGTCACCGGGACCAGAGGTTCAGCCTTCTGAACTTTTGGACTCATGCTGGTGCCCATCTTCGGGGAATTTCTCACCCACCAGAATGTATTTTCCCAAGCTGGCCATGCTGATGTGCAAGGCACTTCGTTTTAGACTTAAATGGTACACGATCTCAGCACACAGGTTGTACAACCTGAAAATAATTGCTGTTGCGATTATAAATGGTACTCTACTCAGATTATAGCTATTAAGGGGTGACATCTCAGTTTATGGAAACTTTAGTGATTGCTTTTTAAGTCGCTGATAATATCTATGTATCTGCTGTGTAGTTATGTTGATGGGATTGTTATGCAGGAGTTCAGGTGTGACTCACTAAATATAATAAACGGCGTCCATGTGTCTTGATAAGCCAAAGACGTTTATTCAGCTGAACAAAGGCAGGTTGTCCCTTAAATTGGAACAACCCTGAATACAGTGTAAGGCATGAATGCATGCACGCACGCATGCACACACAGACACACACAAACACACACACACATGCAGAGTCTCACACACACATTTTACTTAGTTACATAAGAAGCTGGCTCACAACAGATAAGGTATAGAAGTTATAAAAATACTCAGGTACACCTTCTGTGGTTTTGGTCACATGCTTAACTCATGGCTAGTGGTGTCTTGTGGAGCTTCTCATAGCCTCAAGGATTTGCTGAGGTCTGAGCTTTTTTAGTTCTGCCATCTCAACATATGTACCTTTTAATCAATCATCAAATTCATCATATTTCCGATCGACAGGATCCGACGTCCCTCGTGTTATACTCCTGCAGAACTACTTATTCCACCAAAACTCCCAGTTGTTCAGAGTACACAATTGTATCAGCTTTTAAGGGCTTCAAAAACGCATTGCCATAATCATACAGATAAAATATGTCCCAAGTGTCTATGGAGATTCTCTATCATCCAGATCATGGTTTTTTTTTTT